ATACAAATTAAAAATATTTCTTGATGATCATTTGATTTTGGGCGGGAAAAAATGTTCTTTTTTTAGATGCTTCCACAGTTTCCAGCTTCCAGTCGGAGGTCATCGGCCCTATTATTGTTTTGAGAGGAGCTTTAATATTTGATGTGACGGATTAAATGTTTCCCTTTTTCTCTGTTCTGTTTGATACGCTGACAATTGTGTTTGATTCACATTCTACACACCATCCAAAATATCAGAGAGAAACAGGAAGGGATTTCTAAGGAATGTCATCTTTCCAGATGGGAACAATGAATATCAGAGAAAAAACAGCAGATCCTAACTCACCTGAAGGGGCTTCATCTGTGTCCGTTTGTGGAAAAAGAGGGAAGCTGTGCAACATTTTGCTTGATTTCCTTTGTTTTTTGACCAGATTTCATTGAAATCCTTCCAATAGTTGAGTGTAGATGTGAAAACCGGATGTATGTTAAAGAAAAATGTCTGTTTTAAGTTGAGACTCGTCTCATTTCATCGTGCAGCACGTGCAGGCCTCTGGAAATCAGACTTAATGACAGCCTGCGAACAGCCGCGCGCACGCACCGCCAGCGCTCGTGCACGCTCCTCGTGCACGCTCCTCGACTCGGGCTCTGTCACGGGCCCAAATCAGAGCAACAAATGATGTGTCACAAAGACAAGACGCCATGCAGGAATCATTCACTCTCCGCCTCCCGGAGAGGAAGAAGAAGGTGAAGAAATGTGTGTGTGCGTGTGTGCATGTGTGTGTTTGCGCGTGCGTGTGGGGTGTCAGCTTGATGGATGTGGTGCAGGAGCCTTTGTGGTGGTGGAGGGGCAGCAGGCCACCAGAAAGCAGCGGAGATTTCTGCGCCTCTAACAGATTTGTTTAATCACCTTTGCGTGACTTTATCCGCGCGTGCGGCTGCAGAAATTCACGCGCGCGGGACTAACTGTCTCCCATCCCGGTGTCAGAGCCACGGAGGCAGTTGTCCGGCTGTGAAACGGGCAGAAAACCGGCCGCTTGGACGCTGTTCTGCGGGCTTAGGCTCTTTTACGCCGGGATGGCGCCCTCTGGCGGTGGAACCAGGAACATGCTCGGCCTTTTTTTTTAAATTTATTTTTGTATTTATCTTTACACAAAAACTGCATTTTCAACC